GCGCGCGTTCATATGTGTGAGCGCGCGTGCATGCATGCGTGCGTGCGCGCGCGTGCATGCGTTCGTAAACGTGCCCGCTTGGATACGTGCTCGCTGGGAGGGTCTGGGTGATTAGTTAGCGTTGCCTAGAGTTTTGTACGCCGATCACCGTGACTCGTCTGCGACAGGCTAGCGGGGGGGGGGTAGGAGGGGAAACCGGTCGCCGTGTCGGGGCGGCCCGCACCCACGCCTACCGCCGCCGCGTCGTCACCGGTAGAAGCGACGTACTACTGCAGCTCGGTGCGTTCTGGTTTTGCACAAATCCCGGTGACGCGAATGGCAGAGTAACGTAGTCAGAGCATTGTCATGGCAGAGTAACGTAGTCAGAGCATTGTCATGGCAGAGTAACAGAGTAACATAGGTAGACTAACATAGCTCCCGAAAACTACATAGATCTGTAGAGCATCCGTAAAACGGAGAGAGAATTCCGCGCCTCAGACGTGGCTATATCGCAGGCCTGATATTCGAGCGTTGTAGGTGACCGTGAGATTAGCATACGTTGTGTGGAGACATCTGTGGAGTTTTACTAGCTGAAACTCCAAATTATATATATATATATATATCGTGAGATTAGCATACGTTGTGTGGAGACATCTGTGGAGTTTTACTAGCTGAAACTCCAAATTATATATATATATATATATATATCAGGGATTAATAAAGACAAATTTGTCATTATTAAGACATTTATTAAGACATTTGTCAAATATATATATATATATGCAGTGTTTCCCCTGGCGAAAAAGGTCTGTTAATTTTGTTGGTGTGTTTGTGCGTTTCGAGGTCCTAAGAAAGCGAGTTGGGAGTCCGGGGGTCATCCCCCACTCGCAAAATATTTGGAAAAATTGTGCAGTTTGGTGCATTCTAGGTTATTTTAGTGCATTATAAGCACTGTTCTACATGGAAGAACAGTGATTTTCGTCAGCGAGGCAGTGTTTTGGACAAATGTCTGTGTGGCGGCTGAGAATTTGAGCGAGGCATCCCGCCTCGCTCATGTCACTGGAGGGGAAACAATGCATATATATATATATATATACCGATTGATGTAAACGCACATATATATACATTGGTGTGACGAATGGGTTACAGCAGCGTGCGTCTGGATTCATGCATCACGGTGCGCGGCCGGTGAAGAGGGTGTGCGTGCGTGCAGGGCGGTGCGTGCGTGCAGGGTGCGTGGGTGCCCTGTGTCAGGGGCTTCCAGCCTGCCCTCGATTCCAGCAGCCGCCGATACGGATAGCTGGGGTTCGGCGAATTCGTCTGGTCGCGAGGGATTAGTCATCGAGAGCTCCTCTCAGGTGTTAGCTTGTCATTCGGGTTGCGAATGTTACAGCATGTGTCTGAATTTTACCGATGAATCACATATATGTATCTGAGTCGGCTATATTGCGGATAGAAGCTGAGCCAGCAATTGTGACCGTGTGGGTTCACCTGACATTTGTACTTGAACTTCTCTTCACAACCTTGTTGTTGACACGTATCTCTCTATTTTGCCAAGTTCAGTGCCTGTATGAAGCGTAGCTAATGTTGCAGAATAGTCCACCTAGCTGTAATTTAGTGTACACACCCAAGTATTTATGGTATTGGTGATCTGCTAAAGCAATTGCAATTCGTAGTTAACGCATTGCGTGGGAGGAATTATGCACTTTGAATCTTTCTATCTATTTATTTATGTATTCTTCGACTTTGTTTATTAGTTCATTATCTACTCGGCTTTGCAGCTGAGGAACTCGTTGTTCCCCTGCATCAATCTATAACCCCCTTCCCCCCAACCCCACCACACACACACACACACACACACACACACACACACACACACACACAAACACACACATGCGCGCGCGTGTTGCTGGATTGATCACACACCGGTATGGAGCATTGTTGAAGCGGGTGCCAATTCCGTAGCCTAGGTATATCTCAAGATACATTATGTCACGTGTATGTGGAAATATCTCTGACTCTCCCCAGTTATATCTTATGATACACTATGTGTATGTGGATACATCTGAGATTCGCCCCATAGATATTCTATGATAAACTATGTGTGTGTACATACATCTGAAATCCACCCGCATAGATATCTTATGAAATGTTATACATGTGCATGTGGATGTATAGATCTGTTACCCTCCCCCTTGATATCCTATGATAAACTGTGTGTATGTAGCTATATCTGAGATTCACCCCTATAGATATCCTAGATGATAAACTGTGTATGTAGATACATTTGAGATCCACCCCCATAGATATCCTACGATAAACTATGTGTATGTACATCTGAAATCTACCCCATAGATATTCTATGATAAACTAACTATCTGTACAAGTAAGATACAGCTGTGGTCCACTCCGTTCCTTCGTCGGTGAGCGGAGACGTCTACATGAGATCGCCATGAGACACACGTTCGCTAGCATTGGTTCAGTGAAAGTCTCCCCCACCCCCACCCCCACCGTTCTCATACGCCCACCAGCCAAATATGAAGCCAGTATGCATGTGGCAGTGTTACGACACGGGCCTATCAAGAATTGGCGCCTGATGGCGGCTAATTATAGCCGGGCCCGCGTGTGCGTGCGTATGTAGGTCTCCCTCCCCATGTGCGCGGTGGTGGTGGACAACGCGTTCTCGATGGCGGGACATTTCCGTCGCGGAGGAAGGAGCGTCGGTTGGCGGGCGTGCACCCGCATTGTATGTGGCGTGCCTACACAGAGCACGTTAACGTGCTTGGTTCACTGGTTTCCCTACGTCAGCGTCCCGCAGCATTGTTCGCTGTTTCCTCTCGGCTGTCCTCTCGGGCATTGCGCAAAGGTGCGCGTGGTGAACTACCGAGATGGTCTACTGAGGATGTTCGTCACCTTCAGAATATCCGCCCAAGAAGTTGTTCACCATGTGCGCCCGCGTAGTTCTGAGCTCCGGTGGTATTGCCTTCCCGTAACGTGCTCCTTGTTCTTGATCCCAGCGCGATGTGATTGTTTAGGATGCGTTAGCCATATTACCCATGTTCCATCTCCTCCCAGAGGTTTTTTATTTTTGAAACTGCTCAACTTTAGCTTAGCCAATACACCTGCAACTGTGATGCTTATCAACCCCATCCTAACTTTTCTGACTCATTCTCCAGCTTGCCTTCACGTACACCTTTCCCACTTTCCTTATCTAACTCTCCATCTTCCTCTATTCTTCTTCTTCTTCTTCTCGTCCAGTTATCGAAATCCGCCGTTCCTAATCTCCGTATCACCCTCCGTGCCCACGTCCTCCGCTCCCATTATCTAATTCCTCTGCATCTCTCTCATTTCATATCTCTCTCATATCATAGCTCAGCTCCACACGAACCCTGTGTCACCTTGACGGCATTCAGACCTATCAGTTAATGTGCTTTTATGTCGTATGTGTGCGTGTGCGTGTGCGTGTGCGTGTGCGTGTGCGTGTGCGTCGCTATGTGTTTGCTAGCAGGGCATACGTGCCGAGACAGAAACGTACATGTAAGAGAAAGCATACAGGCTTGTCTGGGCGCATGCCCCCTCATCACATCATTGATTGCCAGAAAGCAAGGATAGAGAGAGAGAGAGAGAGAGAGAGAGAGAGAGAGAGAGAGAGAGAGAGAGAGAGAGAGAGAGAGAGAGAGAGATAGATAGAGAGATAGATAAGAATAGATAGATAGATAGATAGATAGATAGATAGATAAGATAGGAAGGCAGACTCAGAGAGATAGAGACGAAAAGGAGGAGTGAGAGGGAGAGAGGTGTATACACTAACAGAGAGGTTGCGAGAGGGCGGTAGATAGGTGCAAGAAACGTGGAGCGAGAGTGCGAGAACAAGTAACACTAACAGCAGGGAAAAAATTATTTTTTCGGGGGCTACTTTTCAAGCTCGCGTGCATGAAAATAGCACTCTAAAATTTGGTTTGCATTGAACTCTATGCAAATTTACGGGGGCTCGTTTTGGCATTTCCGGGGCTCTTTTTGGCATTTCGGGGGCTAAATCGCCCCGAGCCCCCCTGTATTTTTTTCACTGAGTAACAGGGAGATAATGAGATCGAAGTGACAGGTAGAGGGAGAACCAATCATATTGGCAGATGCAGAATGTGAAAGAGTTACATTGAAAGTACAGCAATTTATTATTTGATTGCAACACACTGTATCTAAACTATCTCTGCTGCACATGAGCCAGCGAGTGTGAGACAGTCCCCTCTCAGACGTGCAATGCTATCACGTGTATTTCATGTGCATGCTATATTATGCTTATGCACACTCTTATAATACACAATGTTGAGAGTTATGGGTTAGCAGTAAGCAGCTGGAGAATGTCGAAACGTTAGCATACATGATTGCTATACTTGAATTCACAGCTAGCATTGGTTGCAGCAGTGCGTAGCGAACTGACAAGGTAAAATGATGCAGTACCTATGTCTCCAGAGATGCGATGGGGGAACTTTAATGTATGCATCTGACTGAGTGTGTTTTTGTGTGAATTAACTGAAAAAAATATATTTATTTTTATGTTTATTTAGTCATTATTCAAGTGAACTGGTGATTGAATATTTGTTATTTTGACGTTTTTTTCATTTTTTTCCCCCTTGTTATTATGGATTTTGTAGTTGTGCCCGATTTTCCACCATCGGGTTGTTATGACCATTTTTCTCAAGATAATAGTTGTTGTAAGATCGTGGCGGGCAAACGTGAGCAATGAACAGCTGGAAGTCAGAGCGGGCATAAACGGTCGTTGTCGCCCGGTGCAGCGATAGTTTCTTTCCGTGAAACGTGGGGGCTGGTGTGGCTTGGTTACTCACACTTACTGTACAGTTGCGTGAGCTAATGCCTGTTGATATACGTTAAGCTTTTCAGCCGGCGTCTCTGATTGTTGCGAGACACCGGCGCTGGTCTCTGTCACTCTACGTTCAGCGCAGCTTACGGTGTCCGGTCGTCCGCTTTACGCCTGTCCTGACGTGTTCCATTTGGTTTTTTAGCAGGAAAGGGCGGCGATGGTGAAACAGGTCGACTACGAGACAGTGACTACGTTTGAATCGCCCTACGTGGAGGCCATCAAGAGCTTATGGGGTGACAGTGGGATACAAGAATGCTATGATAGACGAAGAGAATACCAGCTCACAGACTCAGCTAAATAGTAAGTACAAGCTCGTTCTATGTGTACTCGGTGTAGTAGTACTAAACATGGCTATATATCAGGGTTTCTTATACGTGAGAGGTACAGTGGCGCACCGCCGTTGTCAAATTTAACATCGCCGTTGTGAAAATGTTCTTGTAACAATTTTTAACATTCAAATTTTTAAAATTTTGTTGGGGAGACCCCCAGAACCCCCCTTCCCAGCGAGAAAGGGACTTCCCCCTCTCCCTCTCTTCCCCCGTGTCCGCCTGCAGCTTCCACATGCGTGCCTACGGCACGTCTTTAAATCCATCATGCGCATTTTCCCCCAAACTGGCCATTACCTCCGTTGTCTAATTTCCCCTCAGAAGAAACCCTGTATATGATGGAGTGAATGGCATGTAGAAGGCTTAGCATTATTTTCCCCCTAACACGAATATCTGAGGCAACACTAGTAGTAGTTTCAGTACTGCTGACTAGTAGGGTTGTCATCTCCAGGCAAAGCAATCAAACATCATTGCCGTCTTCACCGTCAACCACGCCTTGAAGAATTTATACAGATTGACTGACCCCTCTATTGCCTTCCGGCATCTCCCCTCTACCATCCTTACATGCATCTGTGCTGTGAAGCCATTTCTGTGGTTTCCTCGGTTACTCGTCCTCTCCTGCACCTTTCCAGTAGTGCTGTAGTGCCGTGATGAAGCAGGCTTCTCCTTTTCACGGGGCCGATCGGCCCAAGAATAAACAGCCCCATCGCCGATGTCCATGGGAACGAAAATCAACCGTCTAGAGAAAATCAGCCTTTTTTTAGGTCCCATGGTTTTCTCAGACGGCGAAGCCTGGATGAGCCTTTTAGACTACCAGACTAATGCTGTGCATTAGATCAGCATCTGTATTGGAAGGAAGCCAGACTAGAAGAGGAGGAAGCCCTCTGGCGGCACGCATCATTGACATGGTTCTTTTTTTTGCACGCAGTTATCTCACAGACCTAGATAGAGTATCAGCCCCTGACTATCTACCAACGGTGCAAGATATTCTACGAGTGAGAGTCCCAACAACCGGTATTATAGAATACCCTTTCGACTTAGAGTCTATAATATTTAGGTAAGTACACACGTTCTGCATTTGTCAGTAACATCTTGTGACTAGAGCTCGGTCATTGTTATCATTTCTGTTTCTGCCAAGGTATTAAGGATCATCTTAAACTTAATCAACACAACTTGCTTTCCTGAGCACTAGTCATGTGCAAGATAAAGTGGTAGTGTTTCACAATGAAACTATTATGAGATAAATCAGTGACCGTGTATGAAAAGTTTCTATAAGACCTCACATCAGAACATACCATGTGATTAGAAACTGTCTTTCCCAACTACTTATGCCATCTTATTCTAACTTCTAAGGTGAGCACCTTCTGTCTACAATATCAGGGTTCTCCAAGAGCACTTATAGCCTGGCGGTCCGCCAGGCTATCGTCGAGCCCCGCCATCCTAAAATGCACCCGCCACTCTAAATATCATAGCCGCCATGCTAAAATTTGCTAAAAAATGCTAAAACCAGGACTGTAAAGGCAGCCTGCGCCATGCTATAATGAAAAAGCTTGGAGAACCCTGAATATATGGGCCACGTGAGTCCACACAGTGCAAGGATCGAGATCTGTACAGAGTCGCAGCGTGTGGCTCGTAATCGATCGGGAATTAAAAATTTCGCGAAAACTAATTCTCCGACGTCCTGACCTTTGCGTTTCAGAATGGTTGACGTAGGCGGTCAGAGGTCAGAACGGCGCAAGTGGATCCACTGCTTTGAGAACGTCACGTCAATCATGTTTCTTGTAGCCTTAAGTGAATATGACCAGGTGTTGGTAGAGTCTGATAATGAGGTGAGTGTGATCCCAGTCGTCCCCCCCCCACCCACATAGGGATGACACCTGAGGGGTGGGGTAGATTTTCAGATTTGTTATTTAGCACATAACTTAGTTACAATACAGCAGGTGTATGATAGGTGTAACGTGAGAGTATAAATAAAAAGGAATAGCGAACTTACTAACAAATGAGTGCTGTGTGAGAGTCAAAGTAGCACTAGGCTTTCGAGTCGACCCCCGGGGTCGAGACAGGTCGAGACAGGGGTAGGGACAGTCCTGTCGCAGCGCGTAGGTTCACAAATCACACTGGCTTCTTCCCTGCCACGCCTCAACCCTTGCGCTCCTCGGCCAATCGTGAAATGCGCGGGTTTAGTGGGGACGTCGTTTCCCCTCACGTAAGGATGATTCCTGGGGTGGGTTAGGGATAGTCCCCTCGCAGCGCGTAGGAGTGGGGGGTTCACAATGGCTTCTTCTCTCCTGCGCCTCAACCTTTGCGCTCCTCGGCCGATCGCGAAACGCGCGGGTTGAGCGGGGACTTTGTTTTGCGGCGTCGGTGCGCGGGGGCGATGAGTCACCGCTTTCGGGGAACGCTCATGTATTATGAAGGCGATCTACATAAGCGGCTTGCGCGTCGGTCCCCAGGTGGCGCGCCGAGACGCCACTCTCGTGCCTAATGCGGTTGGGGCGTATTCGCGCGCACGCAGCCTCCGGGATGCTGCGGGAGGGGGGGGCGCGCATCCCGGCTGAATATTTTATGGGGGAAATTGCTGTGCGGTAAACGTATGTGGTTCACAGACTGACTTTTATTCGATTTAAGAGCTGACAATGGCGTAATTAATCCGAGCCGGCCGGATAAAAATGCGCGGCGGCCGAGAGCGAGAATAGGTGCGCGAGCGCGCCCCGCGCGATGATATCGTGGAAGATGTTCACTTGTCGTTCGTCGGCGGCGGCGGCCGACCGTTGCTGTTGCTGGGCGGGGGCGGGGCTGAGGCGGGGGGTCAACGTTTGTGGCTCGGCTGTACTTTCCCGGCCGCGGCTCTGAAACCAATTGACTGTCGGAGCAACCTCCTGTGCTAGCAGTTATGCTTGTCAGTGGGTCGCAGAGGTGGAGCAGGAAAGAATGGATGGGTAGGCTAGAAGTTTTTTAATTGGCGAGTTTTAAAAGTGGGTGCGGCGGAGCAGAGGGGAAGAGGTAGAAGACGAACGAAAACAAAGGCATAGTGGAATAATAGCGAGACGAGTGCCATGCAAATACCTAGAGGTAGATAGGGCGTGTCTTTGATTATCTGTTCGTGTGTGCTCATATGTGTGTCCATAGCTTATGTGGTGGGGAGCATGTGTATATGTCTGAGTGCGTGTGTGCATGCACTGTCTAGCAAGGTGTGGGATTGCTAGAGTGTGTGAGCGTGCGTGCGTGCGTGCGTGCGTGTATGTGTTTGTGCGTGTGTGCATGCACGGTCTGCAAGGTGTGGGATTGCTAGCGTGTGTGAGCGTGCGTGCGTGCGTGCGTGCGTGCATGTGTCTGTGCGTGTGTACATGCACGGTCTGCAAGGTGTGGGATTGCTAGCGTGTGTGAGCGTGCGTGCGTGCGTGCGTGCGTGCATGTGTCTGTGCGTGTGTACATGCACGGTCTGCAAGGTGTGGGATTGCTAGCGTGTGTGAGCGTGCGTGCGTGCGTGCGTGCGTGCATGTGTCTGTGCGTGTGTACATGCACGGTCTGCAAGGTGTGGGATTGTTAGCGTGTGCGTGCGTGTGTGTATGTGTCTGTGCGTGTGCATGTGTGCTTGTTTAGCAAGCCACTGAGGAAAATTGTGTGAGCGGGTGTGTTCGTCTGTATTTGTCAGCTAGTCTGCTCGGGTGTGTTTGTGCATATGTAAGCGTGCATGTGCGTGCATAGGCGTGTCCCTGCCAGCCTGCAGTTTACTTGTATGCTCTGCTGGTCTACACTTTCGGTCACTTCAGATATGGAAACAATTAACAGACAGTAAATAGACATAGTATAAAGCTCGACTGTGTAACGGCGTGCACACACACACTGCGCATTACCACAGAATATTTGCCTGGTTACAAACGTTTGCAAGAAAGAAATGTTGAAGAACACAAACCCAGTCGGATTTTTCACACTGGCAACTAATACACAGATAAACTGGTCCGGGAGAAAGCGGCCATTCTCATGCTCACGAATTCACACCGTGGCTTCTTCAGTTTCTCGCTGGGTTGCAGAATGGTTCGTTTAATTATGCGTTAAATATGATTTGTCCCCAATTCCATAGATGTTTGGCTGCTTCTACTGTACTAAGAAAATGTCCCCCAGAAATGGAAGCTGCTATACGACCGGTCACCTTGAGAGTAATGTGTAATCCTTATTGGCACGGTGATCAGGAAAATAGCAATTCACGCTTTGGGGGGTGTGGGTGGACGATAGCAGAGGAGTTTCTACTCTCCTGGCCAGTGGACGGGTAACAGAGTTAGCCTTGTACTAATGGATAACTGCGCAAACAATGATGAAATCTGCATGGTCCGTGTTTATAAAAGGCATGAACCTGTGTGGTGTATCTATTGCTGCATGTCAATCAGCAAAGAAGTGATGATTATGTAACTTCTGCAAGTAAATAAATGAGATAGTTGATATTGAAAAACGCCGGGAGGAATGAAATAAATATTTATGTTAACTGAAATATAGGCTGTTCTGCATGCACAGCGACAAAACCAAAACAACAATTTTCAGCTGGTTATTATAAGTAGTAATTACAAAGTCAACTATGTGCGTACCACTACAAAGCATGTGGGACGATAATAAATTAAAAACAACAGAACTAGGACAGGAATTTAAAGCAAATCATATGCAGTAATGACTAGTACTATGTCCAGGTGGGATGTACTATATACTTCTATACACACGGTAATCCATAGTGATCCGAAGTGCGATTTCCTACGATCCCGCCTTTTATAAACACTAGCAGGCCGAATAACGAGCGATTCTTATCCGCAATCTAACCGCGCAAATAACAAATCCCCTGGCATTTCTATTCGCCTGGTCACCGTGTCAATAAGGTTCACGTGTTATGCGCATGATGACCGGGCGTCGAGACACTGCCCAGAAATGTCCTCATTAGTCATAGCAAGGCATGTGCTGCCACCTAGTGGTATTCATCTGTAAGCCTGAAAGCCTGTACCTCAAAGGGAGGCTATGGAAATGGAAGGTTTTTGATGGGAATTTATTAAAAATTCGGTGTTAACATAGAATAGGAAGAACTGATCCCTTATTACCCCTTTCCGCCCTCATTATACTAATGCTACCTGTCCAATGCATTGTTTCTTTGAAACCGTAAAACAAGGGATGATCAGTTAATGAAAAGGTAACAGGGATTGGTTTTTAGGTTTAACGTGTAATTTTAACGTTTCATGCGCATAATATATCGTCGTTTCAGTGCGGTCGCACCTAAATTTATTCCATGCTCTGCTTTTTTTGTTTCAGAACCGAATGGAGGAGAGTAAAGCGCTATTCAGAACAATAATAACATATCCCTGGTTTCAAAACTCATCCGTTATCCTTTTTCTAAACAAGAAGGATCTTTTGGAAGAGAAGATCATGCATTCGCATCTTGTAGACTATTTTCCAGAATTTGATGGTAAGTTTTGTGTATAGCATGGAATCACGCCCCTGTCTGTTTTTTCTCTTCAGCCCCCTTTGCATCGCTACATCATAGCCTTTTCTCCTTTTTTCTAATTTTCACAAAACCTAACTAATCTCGTGAACGCTAATGGCTGGTGTAGAACAGAAATGCGAAAGATCGTGTGATTAGACCTGGTCAGACCTTTACACACTGTGCACTATACCCTGTGTGCTATTTCAGCTGTGTGTGTGTGTGTGTGTGCGTGAGTGCGTGCGTGCGTGCGTGTGTGTGTGTGTGAGAAAGGGTTGAGGGTATACTGTATGTATGTATCTATGTGCAGGTCCACAGAGGGATGCACAGGCAGCAAGGGAGTTCATACTGAGGATGTTTGTTGACCTCAACCCTGACAGTGATAAGATCATTTATTCTCATTTCACATGTGCCACAGGTAAGCACGCGCTTCTACGACTGTGTGTGTGTGTGTGCCTGTGCATGCATGCGAGTGCGTGTGTGCGTGCGTGCGTGCGTGCGTGCGTGCATGCGTGTGTGCCTGCATGTGTGCGTGCGTGCGTGCGTGTGTATGTATGTGTGTGTGTTTGATGAAGGTGTGTGCGTGCGTGTGCTTGTGCATTCGTGCGTGCGTGCGTACGTATGTGTGTGAGCGCCATGTACATGTTGTTGAGTACATGTTTGTTTAAGTACCGCAGCAGTTTGTTTAAAGTAGATGGGAAACAGGGCTCGAAACTAACGCTCGCCCGCTCTCCCGAGGCTAGTAGAGTGTCTGGGTTGACCAGCCCTGTTGGCGAGTGGGAATGCCTACCAGATAACATATTACTAGTACTTTTTCAGCAACTACTAACTGGACCGAACTAGTAATAAGTAGTATAAAATTTGCGCGTGCAAACATAATAAAATTGCAAAACCTAAACATAACAGTCACGATGCTGAACGCTGCCATATTGGATACTGTAGACTTAACTACCGGATTAAACCACATTAATTCCCTCACAGTGTATGTACGCAATACGTTGCTGTTCTACTTTCTGTTTATGTTCGTGGAACGGTTAGTTTACGGTTCAGCTGATCTCAGGGTTAAACACTACAATCCCTCCCTTTTTCAAATGAAAAGAAGATTTCAATTTGATGTTTGCTAAATAAGCAAATTACAAACTCAAATTTACTTATACTCAGTTGGAATCACCCTGGCTAATATACAATCCAGTCTCTGTGTCTATAATTGACGTGGAATAGTAGTCATGGTTTTGTCAGGTACTGTTATGAAAATAACACGCATATATACCTTTAAACCTACATTCCTGTAACTGGTACTCTAAGCTTGTTATAATACGAAATTCATCCTAACACTAGGCCTAGCATAACACGCTTGCTTCTATGTGGCTTATATTCAGTGAACTAATATAATTGCGATACAACTCTACAAATCTTAAACTATCACAAACAGGATAACTCAACTTATAACTCTATACTGTACTTGTACTAACTACTAGCAACCTCTGTACTTGTAGTAGAGATAGTCACAAACGGTTCCACTTAAACAGGAACTTTCACATTTCAGTAAACTGACTAATGCTTCTAATCGTTAATTACTATAAGGAATATAATTATTCTGCTCTTATAACATAGTACTGATGTGTATACTGAATCTAGATTTTCAGAAAGTCAATGAATTTTGCAGAATGCATCTCGGAGCGTTTAAAGTCAAAACCCAGATCCCCCCCCCAAAAAATGGCAAAACTGTGCTCACCACGTAGCTTCAGCGCCGCACTTCAGAAAACTAAGGGCTGGTAGATATTTTTAAGGGCTAGTAGATTTTACAGGTCACTAGCGCTGATAGGGTCTATGTCCCCCAGGGTACTGCCGGAACGTACCCTCGGTACGGTCCGGTATACCGGAACGTACCCTGGTATCTATCTAGCTGATATGGTTAGGGTTAGGGTTAGGGTTAGAGTTAGGGTTAGGGAGTAGGCGTAGGCGACCTCCTAGACTCGTTAGTGGAGTAGGCGAGGTACGTTCCGGCATATTAGATAGTAGTATTTAGTACCAGGGTACGTTCCGGTATACCGGACCGTACCCAGGGTACGTTCCGGCAGTACACTGGGGGACATAGACCCTATCAGCGTCACTAGCCCTGCTGGCTAGTGAACATTTTAGGTTAGTTTCAGGCCCTGGCTAACATAATGATAAGTGGCACGATTGATTATATGGCTTCATAATTTCGGTCAATATAAAGTAGGTCGAGTAAAATCTGATATCAAATCAAGTAGTACTTCCTATCTACTTTGCTGTTGATATTGGTTTTTGTTACGTCTATTTCACGTTTCTCTTTGCAGACACTGAGAACATTCGGTTTGTATTCGCTGCAGTCAAGGATACAATCTTGCAACTGAACCTAAAGGAGTACAACTTGGTATAAGGGTGCATTTGGTGGCGGCCATGTTGTGTGCGTCACGTCGTCATGGCAACGGTTTGATGTCAAGTGTCCTTGAGCAGCGAGACCAAGGTCAAGAAGTCAAGGTCAAGTTTTGTATCTGTACAATATGTATTACGTGTCGATATTGGCCTGTAGCGGGGGCGCGCGCGAGCTGCCCGTTAATTGCACCGTAACACGGTGCAGCCGCGTGTGAGCCGCCCGCACGACCCCTCGCGCGAGGAGGATGAGGAGCGGGGGTCAGCGGGAGAGCGGGCGGCGGAGCGTCGACGCGGCCCCGGCGGTGGGCCGCCCCGCACGAGCCCAGGTGCACGCTCTTGTCCTCGCGCAGTGCTCAGGTCCATGGCCCCTGCTGTCTTCTGTGCCGGTTTCGCCGCCCGCGCAGGCGTCGCCGAAACGCGCGAGCGCGCGCGCGGACGCCATCTTGCGCGCGGCGGCGGCGGCAGCTTGACATCGGCTGCGACTGGATGAGCGCCCCCTGCCTGGCTCCAGCGGGCTTGTTCTTCACAGGGTTTGGGGGCCTTGCTGCGCGACTAGTCATCGCGGCCTGTGTAAATAGTAATCTCCACTAGGGTTCTTCTGTTACGAGCATGGAAGGCTGTTATAACAAGTTGCTAACTTTAGTCTGCTTGTCTAGTTGTCAGTACGTCTTTATATTACTACAGCTAACTACTGGCCTTTTTGATAATTTTGAATTTTAAGCTTTAATACCGTGGTACATATTTTCAGATTTGCTAGGTGACGCAGCGGTTAATGTGTTAATTAATTGTAGTCGATTGTTATGGTTAATTGGTGAATTAATCGCTAGCGATTATCGTTGACGGGGATGTGAGAATGTGGGCGCTTTTTTACCGATACTTCTGTTCAGTATCACCGTCTCTCTCTCGGGCAAATAGTACGACGTAGTTTTATAGGGACTCGACCCTCGATGTGGTGAAGAGGTGTTTTGCGAGATGCCTTCCTGCTTGTGGGAATGCTTTTTAAAAAAAACGTATTATAATCTTAACTTATTGCAGCAGTACGTAACTCTTAGAGTGGGGTCACTATTTCACCGACGGGGACGAATCGTCTCCATGTAACCAGTTATGTGTGCGTGTCTGTTTGGATCGCGTGTGTTTATCTCTAACTGTGGCAGTCTGTATAGCTATATTCACACCCGTCTGGGCCTCCTCGCGCCGGCCACTGACTCGACTGTGAGCGCGCGCGCGTGCGCAGTGGCGCCCCCCGGCGGCGGCAGGCCTGCAGTGATGGCGCCGGCGCGTGACGAGCACCCGTGAGGCGGACGTTACCTGCCCGACATTGGCCGCTCGGCCATCCTTAACCTGAACCCCTGTCAGCGCTGCTTTCGCGTCTTCGCAATGACGTCTGCTGTAATGGCGCACACCCGCGGGGCGTGTCGAGTATGAACGGCAGTATTTATTTGTTTGATCGTATGAACTTGTGTGAGAGAGAGAGAGAGGGAGCAGCCAGCAACAGCGTAGCCTCGTATCTGAATACGATTTTGCTTGGATGTGACTCGGGTCGTTCGTCGCGCGCACGCGCGCGGCAGCGAGAGAGGGCGCCGGTTGTAAGGAGCGTTCCGCGGCAGTGACCCGCGAGTTCGAGTCCACGTCTCGGATGCACGGCGCCAAAATTTTTGCTTCAAGATGACGCGGTCCAGTTGCCATGCCGACGCCTAGCCGCTCACTCGGCCCGGCTCGCGGCGCCCCCTGGCGGGCGTTGCGGCGATCATCGGGTCGGGACGGTCGAGCTCCCACGCTACATCATGTGGCATTTTTGACGCTGGATCTCCTGTGTTGTCATAGTAACATATGCCTCATTTTATGGCCAAATTTGATGCATTTACATATAACTACAAATTTGTACATTTAGAAATTATTGTACTATAGGTTCGTGTAAAACCATTAAGCCTAATACAGAGTAGTGAGTGTGCCCGTCCCCCCTCCCCCGGCCTGCTATGTGTAACTGTGCTTCTCAGCCTCAGTCAGGCAGAGGTTATTCGCTCGACCTGCAGCCTCCTCTTCCACAGCACTGAAGCTGTGCCCAGCATCCCCCATTAGTCAGACAGCAGGACGCTGTGGTCCGTATATGCAACACACATTTAGGGTTTTAGTCCCGTTTTGATTCCTTGCGAAATCGTAAGGTGGCATCCAAGTGGTATTTTAGTTTTTGCGAGTCGCCGGTTGGTGAGCGGAGAGGAGCGAAGTTTTAAGTGGCGGCGACAGCGTGTTTTACGGCTGTATGATAATATAATGGAACTGTGTGGAAGGATTACTAGATTCGTCATGGGTCTCTGCAACTATGAAATGTTGGCTGTGTGTTTTGTGTTGTTAGGTTTGTCATTTGACGCCAGCCAATCAGGTTTACACGTTAGCGTCGGTTTCGCAGCGCTCCTTGGCAGAAAACTAGGGGGAAAGTTAATTGAGACTGAGCTGTACGAACCCGCTATAGGGCGCCGCGAAACTGAAGTGAGACATTTTGTAATCAAAAAACGTAATTGTAATTTGAAGTGGATCTGAATCCATGCAGTATAAAGAATTTGTGGTTGATGTGCATTTGTTTTGCATCCTGTCTGTACATAAGTGAGCATACCAGTGACATGTTTAGCTGTTGAACACTGCTCCGTAGAAGTGCTGATGAAGCGTGAAAAGTAGTTGCATTATTTCCCCATTTTGTGTAACTTTTGATCTGAACGGTGGTGCTGTACGATGTGTATTTCGACTTTAGCTGGACCTCTCGTTTTCATACGGGGCCATTTCCGCACTGCGCCCCACCGAGAGACGACTGCTGTGTCGTGTCGGTGTCCCGCTACCCCCTCCCTCCCCCCCGCAGCAGCATCCGCGAGCGAGATAGGGAGAGCCCACCTCCACCTCGGCATCCCCGAGCGGACATCAGCGGTGGACGGCGGCGCTGCGGCGGAAGATCGGCGTGTGTGTCTGTCCAGCCTTCCTCGCGCAGGACGATGCGCGGCGGCGGCGGCGGCGGCGGCGGTGGCCCGGGTGTTTTATAGGGAATTACGCAATACGTCACATTAGCGAGTGCATCCTCATCTCTCCCGTGTGTGTGTCGTTGTTCTCCGTATGAAAATCGAAGGCCGGTTTCCGACGCACGGTGGCGCCGCCGTGCGGTCAGCGGGGGGGCGCCACCGATGCGTCCATCGATCACAGGGTACGAAACGGAGCGCTAGACTTCTGTCGGTTCGGCGACCTGGGTGTATGACCCCCAGGCCGCTGCCCCCACCCTCCTCCCCCCGGGACGAGACGCAGCCTGCGTACCCCCCGGCAGGCGGGCACGCCGGGCACGCCCCCTGGTGGCGCCCGTCCCGTGATTTGCAGCCGGGAGCGCTCTGTGGGGATGACGGCGCCGCTTGATCGAGCGGAGGGCGCCGCCAGCAGAGGGCGCTCACTGGCTGCGCCTCGAGTTTTGCGCAACTTGTCAGCGACTCCGAGGAAAATGCTGTTTAGCATTGTTATGTGAAACTAAGAAGTCGTATATTGTATTATAAACGCTAAGTCGGCCGTATCAAGAGCCGTGGCTTTTATTTATACATTAATGTTGCAAGCGGCTTGGACTGATGTCCCCCAACCATTAGCCAGACAGTAGTGACTGGCAAGGTCAAACAGATATTGGTGTGTTGTAGCTTTTTGTACCTGAATGTATGTGTTACTGATTTGTTAAGATTAATGTTTGAATGCAAGAACAGCTTGGACATAACAAGAGTACTACATGCCTAGCTACATTGTCTGTTGTACCTTCACACATAGTATTCACGTTTGTATACCATAGATCTTACTACCATGATGTCATACAACTTCATCGGGTGTTTTATATGTGCTGCTGCCTCTGCCGAGGGGCGGTGCCCAGCAACACACCTCAGTTACTGTTTTTATCGTTCAGTGTTTTAACATTCGGTACGCGCGCGCGCGTGAGTGTGCGTGTGTGCGTATGATTGTGCGTGTGCGCGTGTGTGTGGGTGTGTGCGTGTGCGTGCGTGTGTGCGTGTGTGTGTGTGTGTGCGTGTGCGTGCGTGTGTGCGTGTGTGTGTGTGTGTATGTGTGTGTGAACTGCTTGTAGCGACTCGCCCTAGCGTTGCTGCACATAGTGGCTGGCTACAAATGGTCGCATGGCAATCCGAAATAGCTGATGTAATTTAAACGATATACGTAGCAAAAAAATTAATAAAGATTTTTATTGGATATTACTCAATCTGTCCACCGCATTGATTTATCTGTTGCCGCCGCCGTCGCTGGCGTTGTTCGCTTTACAGATGTACTCGGCTGTGGTCTCCTCGTCGTCTGCCGTACACGTGTCGTCTCCTGTCTCTGCCTCTTACCTGTGTCATAAATGTCGGCCTCCTGTCGCCGTCTCGCCCGTTGTCCTGTCGCTGTTTCACCTGTCGGATTCCAGTCTCTCTGAATCACCTCACCTTTGCAGCGCTCTTGTGCACCTCTTTGCAATCGGTAGATTTATATGGCGTTCCACCGCACGCTTCACGCGCAAGACCCCGGACTTACATAAACCGCCCCTTGTTATAGCTTCCTGTATTCGAACAGGGTGCGGCCTACCCGTGATTGTTTGGGGGGGGTTCTGGGTCGTTCTATAGCGCGTACCGTACGTCTATGGTCGAGGGTGGGCCACTCAAATTGATCGCACGAGTCGAATATGTGCGTCACGCGCAGTTGATGTGCGCCCGGCAACGCCGCACGAGTGTGGTCCCTGCCTCCCTTACACGCGGGCGCACGCACGCACGCACGCACGCACGCACGCACGCACGCACGCACGCATATACATACATTCGCGATTTATTGGCGCCGTTGTATGGTACACTGTCTAGAGCCGTACGTCGCCCTCCCTATCGCTAGTTTCAATTCGCACACTAATAGTACCAGTAATAGTACTGGTACTATACCAGGGCTTGTTCAGACTAACGCCCGGTCCCAGTCGTCTTCCACGACCCTGCAGCAAGATGCTGCTGCGACTGCGGCTGATGTTGCTGCTGCTGCTAGTACTACTGCTGCTGCTACTGCTGCTGGTGGTGGTGGTGGTGGTGGTGCTGCTGCTATTGCTACGGCTGCTGCTGCTGCTACTACTACTACTACTACTACTACTACTACTACTACTACTACTACT